TTGCGGCGCCCAGGCTCCCAGCTGTGGGACAGTGGCACCTGCCAACACCATCAGTGAGACCACGGCCTTAGTGTGACAGCCGGAGGGAACGACACGAACATTTTAAGCATCGGTGCGGCAGGCCCTGTAACAGCCAAAACGTGCTCATTTCAGCTTTAACTGGAAGTGAAACCGTCTTTAGGCCTCTGTCCTGTGCTGGCTGGGGGGACCCACGGTTTCCTGGGCTGGCTGGGGGGACCCACGGTTTCCTGGGCTGGCACGGCGGACGTCCCGTGAGGAACTCACTGGTGTGACGTCCCCAGTGACACCCGTCATCCGTCGATGCCCGAGTCGTGTTTGCACGAGTCCACAGCCCATCTCCAGAAGTGCACTTGCCTCGCCAGGGGCGGCTGTCCGAGGCGGCTGCGCCTGCCGGTCGGCGGGTCCTCACCCGGTCTTGGCACCCCGATCACTGCAGGACACCTTCCTGTCCTGGGTGCTCGCCAACAAACACCCCACTCACACGCAGGGCAGCCTCCCGGACCTCGGCCCACGCCGACAGTCACGTGGCCGGAGCACAGGGGTGACACGGTGGCATGTTAGCGTGAGCCCAGCAGGCGGCCTGGGACGGGTCGGCCGTCGCTGGGTTTCTCACCCAGGTGCAGCCGGCACAGGGAAACCCGGCCACACCAGAAAATGGCCGCGCGGGGAGGGGGAGCGTCGCCCTTCCGGGGTTCAGCTCTGGGGGAGCAGCACGACCCCTTAGCAAGTTGTCGGATTCTGGCTTCCCCTCAACCGTGAAAGAAACCACAGACAAGTGCGTAAGGCCTGAAGAGTCTGAGCATGGTTTGCACATAAATTCAATACATTTTTTAAAGATTTTATTTATTTTAGACAAAGGGGAAGGGAGAGAGAAAGAGGAGAGAAACATCAACATGTGGTTTCCTCTTGCACACCCCCTGCTGGGGAACCTGACCTGGCCCCCCAACCCAGGCAATGTGCCTTGTCTGGGAATGGAACCGGTGCTCAATCCTCTGAGCCACACCAGCCAGGGCTCAGTACATTTTTAGAAATGGAAAAGAAAAAAAAAAGCACCTATTTGAGCAGCATGTTTTAAACAGATTTTCAGGGAACGAGACTGTGCCGAGCTGTCAAACCAAACCCCTGGACTTAGGAGATTCAGATACTTGGTAAATTGATCCTACTTCTTTAAGCAGGGCCATGCCCCCACCTCTGTGGGTGTCCTCACTCCCCGGCACTAGAACACAACTGCCCAAAAATCACCCAGCTTTCAGTGTGTGCTACTGCGAACAGAGAGGAGAGGGTTACTGGTTCAGGGAAGATCGGTGAGGCCATCCTGTCAGCCCCCCAACCCCGGCGTGCCAGAACGGTTTGCACCTCTGTAGCTCACGTGCGCCCTCTGCTGGTCACACCTGGCCAGCGACCGGTCTCCCTGGACATGGCCAAGGCTTTTCACGTCCAAGGGGTCCACAGTGCTTTCACGCAGATGGCAGAGCCGGGCAGCTGCCGCCAAGCCGGCACAGCCTGGGGTGTTAACTCCCCACCCACCACGGAGAGTGTGCTGACGCCCCACAGAGAGAGATGTGAAGGGAGCCTGGCACCTCCGCAAGGACGCGGTGGTCCCAGCCCTCCTGTCTCTCGGGGCCCAGGTTTACCTCCTCTCCTGGGCAGGACTCACTCTGTAACGATTCCCCCAAAATGGAACCTGCTAAACTGCCAGGACATATATCCAGGTTTAGGGGAAAACACTATTTCCCGGCCAAAAAAATGCCACTACTTTTCCAGCTCACCAAATCAACCTCTTACAACGCACCTGCTCCGAAGACCTGTTACCCAGAAACCCAGCCGGGCTCAGCCACTGCCGGGGAGCACCACACCCAAGGGGTCTGACAGCAGCGGCCACCGCTGGAGCGCCCACGCCCGGCCCTGCCAGCAGGGCACGCTCCGACCATCACCATGCCACACACAGCGCCCAGCACAACACCGGTGTCTACGTCGTCACAGCCTGGCGCCCCCTGCAGGGTGAGCAGCTGAAGGAAGCCATCTCCCCCTCACCCCAACTCCCAGGCCACCACCTCGGTCCGGAGAAGAAAGAGTGGCAGCGAGAACAAGTTGAGAACAAGTCCCGCTCCAGCTCAGAGGCTGGTCCCGTCCAGCAGCAGGCGAAGCTGTCGCTGCTGGGGACAAGTCTCTGAAAGGTCGGGACTCGCTGAACCCATCCTTGTGCCCGGCACACAAGAACACGACTCCCCATTCATCTGCATTTCAAGGATCCGGTAAACCTCCGTTCACGACTCAATACAAGCAGAGAGGAGCCCAGCTCTGAGTTCACACCGAGAGCCCCGCCAGACACTTCGTGCCACAGACAGCGTTTGGAGCGGCACCAGAAGTGCCGTGCGGCTAAAGCAACTCAGTGTCAACAGCAGCTGGGACCCGAGCAGAAACCTGCATGTGCCTAGGATGCACCCAGGACACACAGGAGGGGCCCTCCCTCCGAAAACCCTCCCGTGCCCCCAGGGACGACACAGCGGGCAGGCGGCGGGGAGCACCGAGTAGAACCCGACTGCGAGCTTGTGCTTAGCCACACCAGGGGAGAGCCCAAAAACAGGCGGGTTCCGACACATTCCCCGGTCTGAACTGTCGAGGTGCCACATTTCACGTCTAACAACAGCGCACGTACACGCCATCGGAAGGGACAGAGTATGTTTTGGTACCGGGCCCTTCAACATACTGAACGTTAATAGAAACTGGTATCGTCAAATCTATTGACTATTGTTAACATTTCTATGCTATTTCAACTTTAATAGGAACTATTTATGAAAACAGTATTCTAATCCTTAATATTAAGTGAATACAAGTTTTGAAATGCTCTTTTAAGCCTATGACCGTGGGGTTTTTTGCTCACACCCCCACCACCGAGCAGCAGCAGCAGCGACGCGGCAGGCGGAGGCCGGTGTGAGGGGGAAGGACCCCGAGGAAGCGAAACCCTGCTGGGGCAACAGACACAGTCCCGACCTCGACCGCGGCCTCGGGTCCCGCGTCGGCATTTACCAAACTACGTGCTTGAAACGTGTAGTGGATGTCACCTTACGCCTCGACAAAGTGTTCTGTAAGAAATAAACTGCCGCAGAGAAATGGGATTGGACGCAGCCCCAAGTGCTCGGTCTGGACATGGTGGCCTGTCCCGGGGTTTGGCATTTCCACAGTCGACGCGCATTTAACTAGATCAGGGCTCGGGGGCTTGCCCTCCAGCAACAAGGCTCAAAGGAAAACCACACTGAGCGCTGAGCGTGAACGGCCGCACCCCAACACCCCGGCACCCACCCGCCCCACCCCTCCCCTCAGGAGCCCAACCCAGTGGTCTCCTTTCACATGGGGAAAGCAGCCCAAGGCCGAGTTCGCCACGCCTGCTAACGGACTGAACACATTCACAGCCCAAGGCATGAATGCACAATGCAATTCCTTAGCTGCTGAGCAATGGGAATTAGGGAGAAAAAGAGGCATCTGGATATGAGGTAGGAGGCACCAGGAACAAGGTAAACAATAATGAACTCTTTTCTGAAAGCTGGTCAGGTGGGTTGGTTTTGAATGTGTTAGGCACACAGTCTGCACCTGAGGGGCCCCACTCACCTGGTGGCCAGAGGGCACCGCTCTGGCAGGGCCAGCCCCTGGCAGGGCACTGGAGCCGAAGGCGGTGGGTGCCGCTGGACTCAAAAGCAGGACTGGCTCGCGGGGTGTTGTGTAGGAACTGCGAGCGCAGTCAGCACTGTCACCCCCGGAGCTCACCCGGTAAGTCCTGGGGGATGAAACTGGTTTCAAAGTGACCACTCAGGGCAAACAAATGAGTAGGGCTTCCAATAAAAACAGGACAGTCTACAAAGGATGTTAAACCAGAGGCCTTCTGAGAACAGTTTTTTCAAAGATTTTATTTATTTTAGAGAGATGGGGAAGGGAGGGAGAAAGAGGGGGAGTGAAACATCAGTGTGTGGTTGCCCCTAGCACACCCCCTACTGGGGACCTGGCCTGCAACCCAGGCATGTGCCCTGACTGGGACTCAAACCGGCAGTGCTTTGGTTTGAAAGCCTGCGCTCAACCCACTGAGCTACACCAGCCAGGGCCAGAAGAGTTTTTTGTTTTTTAAACTGATGATTAGCTCAACTGAGCTAATGGGACATAAAACCTGGAACATTTCTGCTCTGATATTATGCTCTCCATAATTAGAATGCACTTAAACACAGGAGTAGGGCACTGAAGTAAATGTGGGTGAGCAAAACCCAAAAAACCAAAATACAAATGTACGGAGACAAACTACTCTTCCGGTCAGCAGTGAAACAGGAATGATTTTAAAATTAATGTGCCAATGAAAACAGTTGTTTGACCTTCATTCAATTAATAGGCATGTTACAGCTGTTGATAATAAAAAAGCTACTTTCCAACCCTTTCTTTTCTAACCTCGGAAAGTGACCACCATCTCTCATCAATTGTAACTTTGTTTCATTCCGTGAATGAAGCGCAGTGTTTAGAGACCAAACACTACAGAGAACGACGGCACTCTGAAAATCCAGTTTATTTTCCGTGTTGTGGACAGAGCCAGTCAGTGTGGCCAGTTGCCTGCACGTGGAATAATTTACCAAAGTCAGTCTTCGCATCACCTCTGAAAACCCCGGTCTGACAACACACCCACGCACAGCTCTTGAAAGTCACCTCGTAACAATGGGGGCAGCGTGGCCAGTCTTCCTGTCACATCTACCGAACTACGGAGGGCTGGAGAGCAGAATGTATGCTGCAAGAGGTGACTCGTGTGGCAGCCGGGTCAGGACAGCCCGTGCCTGCCGCACACTCCGCTCCAGTTTTAGCCACATGCTACAGTGTCCTTTTGGGGGTGGGAGCGCACGGAGCGGATTCGAGGGTTTTCCACTGCATGGAAAAGACACGGCTCTGCAAGCAAAGCAGTGTAAGCTGCCTTTTTTCTTAAGACCTGGACATTTTAAGACAGAAGCTTTGCAAAACATTACACAATTTTTTATTATTAAATGAGAAAATCTCATCTGTTACATCGTCACATTGCTAGTCAGAGAAACGCTGCGGTGACGGAGGGCCAGCGCTGGCCCAGCCGGAGTCCTCACTCCTACAACAGCCACTTACAGAGAGTCATGTTCGACACAGCCCGACACGACAGTCGTGGTTTTCTTCGCACCGAAGTCCCCCCCAAAGTGTCTTCTACTGGGGTGTCTCACTACGTAAGGTACAGTTCTCCGCCCTGCGACCCGCCCACGCCCCGGGCGGGAGGCTCACACGTCGTCGTCGTCCGACGTGTCGCTGCTGCTCGTCTCCGAGTCCTCGTTCTCCGTCGGGGGCCGGAAAGCGCAGTTTTTCCAGGGTCCAAATTTGAAGTCACAGATCAGGCCGTTTTTCAAAATCCCGTTTTTCCTCAGACCATTTTTCCGTAGCTAAAAAAATGTCAAAGATACAAAATTAAACAGACTAATCTCCCAGAGTTACTACCAAAGTGAGAATACTACAATTAAATGTAACCAGGAGTAGGATAAAGGTAAATAAGGAAAGCGTATCTGACCCTGGAAGTCCACAGACTACGCCATCACTCCTGACACCCAGTGTGACACGGGCGGTCCAAGCGGCTGAACAAAGAGCCTCTCAGGGCAGGAGCCGCTGCCCTGGGGGAGGCGGCGCCCCACCCACCCACCTGTGGGCAGCCCGGTCACAGCCGCCCCACGTGCTACCAAACGGGACGGCAAGCGCAGGGCTCCAGCTCTTCCCTTTTTTTATCCGTCTGACCTGCCTGGCCTGACCCTCACCGTCTGCGCAGTTCAGACTTTGTAGCACACGCAGGACACAAACCGCCCGGGAGGCAGTGTTGGCAGAAACATCATCCAACAGAGCTCTCTGCCTAACCACAGAGATGAAGATACTGGGGAAAAAATAGTTCCTATTTCTGAAAATGAAAAATTAAAACTGAGATCAATGTGGTAATAAAAATCGGGTCCAAAGATCACCTATATAGAGCAGGGATTAACCCAAAAAAAGAAACCATTAAGAAAATACTGTTAGTAATGTGCAAGCTACAAACTCCAGCCTTTTAAATTTTTTTCATAAAAATCTTTGGCATTCTGGTGATTTTCATCAAATCTCCAAATACAATCTTTGCCAGACCAAGCCCAGCCGTTACAGCAAGCGAGCCCTTGGCCCTGCACAGAGCTGACACCCGGGGGGGGGGGGGGGGTTAAACCGCAACAAGGACTGAAACCAGGGGAAGACTGAGGGCAGAGGAGCCCGCACATCACCGCTGGGCTGTGATCGCTGCAGCCCTTGAGAACTAGAACGGCAAGTCGAGGACACTACTACTGCCTCTCATTCTCCCTTTCCTCCACGCTATTTAACCCCCCGTTTTCCACAGCAGACTTCCTTTTCCACCTAAACCCTAAACTTGAAGCTCCCTCCTCTCACTTCGGGCAGCAACCTCACAACCTCACTGAGAGAAACAAAAGCCAGGTGAGCACCTCCGCTGTTCTCAGTGTGACGCTTGGGAAACACGCCTGTGCGCCCCTCTTTCAAAGGCACATCTTTCCCACCCCTGAAGTTCCAGTCTTGCTCACGAGGTGTATAGCCCATCGCCAGCTAATCTTTCCAAAGCCTGAAATGAGCTGAGGAGAATTTTGGTAAAAAACCCAATCTGAATCTTCAGCTCCGATTTCTCTGAACGCCGTGCCACCCCCAGAACATTGAACCTAATGGCGTTCTCCTCCGCATCCCTGTTGATGGCAGTGATTACCAGTTCTCAGGCCGGAACTTCAAGACCCAGACCTCGGTTCCATCAGGGTCACTCTTCACTGTTGCTTCTCCACATGCAGACCCCACTCGCCCCCCAACCACTGCAGTGCATCCCCAGCTCATCATCCGACTCTCCCCCTCCAACAGCCCCTCTGATGGGCACCCCACACCCACCCGTACTTCCTCCTCACCGTGCACACACGATGAGCACTGCCCGACCCTAACCAGCTCTCGGGGGCCTCCTGCAACTGCGCTGTGAGCCCAGGAAGGAGACCATCCCTGTGATCCTGCAGCACGTGGGGCGGAGTGAGTGCTCAGGGAGTGAGTGCCGACCTGGACGCAGGCTCTCCGGTTGTCAGATACGGTGCACAGGGGCGGACAGAAGTAGTTTACGCACGTGAGTGTGAGCGACAGAGTTTATTCTTGTGTTACTTATCATTGTGTCATTCAGTAACTTTACTTTTGCCCACTCCTGCAAATCCTTTTACAAACAGTGTCAGGCCCTAATGATTTTTCAAAAATCTAACTGTCAAATGTCATCCTTGTATTAATATATCCACGTCCTTGTCACTGATCAGAGAAACAGACAGACGTGCACGTCACTGCTTCCCAGGCACAAAGTGTGTCTGTCAGCTCCCTATCTCATCACCACTGGGGTTCTAGCTGCTGTCCTGGCCACCCCGGGACTGTAAAGCCCGCCATCCTGTGCAGACAACAGGATGCTCTCCTTGCAACCATCTCTCACAGGAATGGTGCCTGGGAACTTCTCTCGTGCCTTCAATTCACATTCAAAGCAAAACCTTCAAACAGATACACTGGTAAACGCATTCGATGGGCAACTACTCAGCAAACATAAGTGATTTTCAAAAGCGTAGAAAGAGCCAGATCTGACGCCCAGAGTGCAGGGTCCAACTATTCCAACTGCGTGGAAAGGCAGAACTGAAGGCCCAGGGAACAAACCAGGGTGTGCGCGGGGCTGGAGCAGGGTGGAGGAGAACGGAATGCAAGGGGACACTGAGAGACTGGGACAATGGCCACATGACCACACACAGCCATGCACGAGTGGTGAGGCAATTTCTTCACTGTGCGAACGTGGCAGAGCATCACCCCCGGGGGGCGTGGCCACTGCTCGCCCAGGCTCCACCCCCGGGGGCGTGGCCACTGTTCGCCCAGGCTCCGGGGTCTCGACTGTCACTCCAGGGCACGACTCTGCGCAGCACGTTCCCCTGCTGAGTGCTGCAGGCAACCTTCCCGAGGTTATTCCCTGTCTGGGTCACTCCCATGGCCCCGTGTCCTTGCAGAGGGCCCAGGTCCCCAACAGAGGATGTGCAGCAACATGCCCGTAAGACACTCAGGCAGGTCTGGGAGGCCGCTGGGCCCCCGAGCCTGCAGCGCTAAGGGGACAGTTCCTCGGGGCTGACACAGGCCAGAAGGGGGCAGAGGAGGGGGTGTCAGCTGCACACTCGGCCCAGAGGAGCCTCGGGGGGACGGGGACCTCCTGCCGAGCCCCACAGGTCCTGCTCCACTCAGAGAAAACCCTCCTGCACCGCATCCCTCAGTTTCATCAGGAAATTCGGCTCCATCAGAGTCTGACGGGACCATTGCACCCCCACCCCTCCCACCACCCCCACCCCACCCCCTCTACACACACCCACCACTGGCTGGTTGCTGTGAGGCTCATGACTACATTCACGTTTGTCAGCACTCATCTGACCATATGCTGAAAGTGAGTACTGATTTCTGTATGGAAATTACACAATAAATGTGACCAAACATGAGACCATTATCCATAAAACCATTATCCACCATCGGCCACACAACCGTTCCGTAAAAAACCAACATGGTTGCCCTGGCTGGTGTAGCTCAGTGGATTGAGGTACAGAGAGTAAGTAGCATAAATGGTAAATAGAAAGTAGACAGGGGGAGGGTTGTTAAGAACAGTATGGGAAATGGAGAAGCCACAGAGCTTATATGTACGACCCATGGACGTACATATAAGGACGAGAATTGGGGGGGGGGGGCAGGGGCACGGGAGAGGATGGTGGGAGAGGAGTACAGGGTGGAGGGAATAAAGCAGAGAAAAAAGGCTAACTGTAATAGCACAATCAATAAAATATATTTAAAAAAAAAAGAAAAACAAGATACCACCTCTCATCCACCAGGCACATCCACCTGTGCACAGAGGCCCTGAGCACACTGAGGCGATGGAGAAGGCGCAGCCCCTGGAGAAACTCAGTGGGGGCAGCTCCTCACAGGCGCACACACACGAGTGTGCAGGGCCCAGCAATCGCGCCTCTGGGTCACCTCCTAAAGACCTGGAATCCTGACACCTCCTCCGTGGGTGACGACCCTAAGTGACACCAGCCAGTGACGAGCCACTCCCACAGGGACAAACACTGCATGACTTCACCACAGTGAGGTCCCTGGGGCAGCAGAGAGACAGAGCGCAGACAGGGGGTCCCGGGCTGGCGGGGATGGGGGGGGTGCTGTGGGTCACTGGGGAGGGTTCCCGCTGTTCGAAGAGCCAGTACCTCGGCAGCAGGGCAGGGACAACGGCTGCACAACCGTGTGGCTGCGCTCAACGCCACCAACCTGTACGTTTACAAGTGGCCAAGTGGAAAATCTCATGTTGTGTGTATTGTGCCACAAAGTTTTAAATACTATGGAAAAAACACTAAATTCATCCTTACATTTTTTAAGTTGATGTGATAACTTCATTTTATTATCAAGTAACTGTAAATGATTTCCTCAAGATTTCATTAAAAACACTTCCAAGTGTAAAAGTTTAACAAGTCCATCTAGGAAAATCACTTCTGTGAGACCACATTTAAAAAACGGTAATGAATTTGGAAAATCGTATCAACTTTCTGACAGCAGCAAACACTTCCTAATACTCTTTCTAAGAGAAAACTATGGAGACATAAAGGCAATTCTGACCCATAACGTGATTGATGTCCAACAAGTTCCTAAATGAAACTGTGTGACTTAACCCCCACCCTTCTCAAAGACGCTCTGTTAAGAACCCACTGCTCCGCGGAGACCGTGCCGGACTCGGGTCTTCTCACCTGCTCACTGATGACCCGGAACTCCCGCATCTCATCCTCAGTTAAGGGGGCGCAGGTCTCGTCGTTCTCGCTGTCTTCTTGCCAGCCCATCTCCTTCAACAGCCTGGGGGAGACAGAGGGAGCCAACACATTTAGAGCTGCACCCCAAGAAGATGACCCCATATATGTCATGTGCGAGCAACTACAACCCGCAGTACACAAAGTCCCCAAGATACATGGAGAAGGGTCTCAGTTTACACTTTGGATGTCTTTCTGGAAACACATGACCAGGTGGGATTAAGCCCACTGAAATGTCTTAGGGAAGACTAGAATGAGCCGTTCAACGGCTTTATTTTTGGTGTCAGAACTTCTCCGGGCTAGAAACTCGGATTTGCTAAATCCGTGTAACGAAAGTAAACGCCGTTCCTCTTCCTCGTCTGCTTTAATACCACACAAGGCATCCATCCCACTGCAGTCCACTGTTACGTTTCCTCCTTTGAAGAGGGTGGGCTGTGTTACCCCATTCTGCATTTTACAATTCACTGGCGTACTGCTACTTCTTCTTGTGCATGCCAGTCCTCATCCTTAACACGTAATTTAATGTGAATGGCCAACTATGTTCTACACCACAGAAAGATGACTGTTTCAGTCATTGTGTTTACTTAGACCAGCTGAGATCTAAGTAAAATGACCAGCCCCATTATTCTCTTTTCCATCCAATTTTTACTTAGGGTGCCTCCAGCTAAGGCACAAAAGACCAGCAGTGACCCAACTGCTTCCCCCAAGCTGGGTAAACCCGAGCGCCTGGTCACAGCGGCCACATATTCCGTACTGATCTGACTATACTTTAAAGACATGTCTTGTCTGTTACTATTTACACATATTTACCTTTCAACTTGAGCCTGCCACACATTAGCTATACTTTGCAGACTTTTCTACATTTTTAAAGCAACTCCATAGAATACTGGTGCTCAGAGACTCTCAAGTAAAACAACACCATTCCCACACTTCACAGATAAGGCATGGCCATCACATAAGTAAAATGATCTGCATACCCGATGCTGGAGAGGAAACAGAATTCTGGTTTTTGCTCACCAAATGCTGCTGCCTCTGCACCAGAATGTCAGTCCCTGCCCATTACTCCTCCTCTCCTCCCTTTTCCAACACAACTGCCTTCCCTCCCAGGGGAAGGGCAGTTCCAGGCCCATGGCCCCCAGTCCAGAGTGGCAGGACGATGTCACTTCTTTTGTGACTACCTGTACCTGTTTCACTGTGATAAACTGAATCTAACAATGCAGATGGAGTGAAACAAGTTGTTTCAAGTATTAACAAAAGTCAGGTATTCCTACCTATCCATTTTTCCCCCAGGTCCCTTACTCCCAGAGACTGCTGCTGTTACCCATTTCTAGAGCAGCTTTCAAAACAAATATTCTTGTGAGTCTCCCCTTCCCAATTTCACAAAGGACCCCCCCCGCAGCACGACTGCCCGGCAGCCTCGCCTGCGCTGGGCCTCACTCTTTCAGGTGCTTTCACAGGGCAGGCAAGTACTGGGGCTGCTCCATCCCTCCCTCGTTCACCACACGTACACACACAGGAAATGCTGGTGCTAGACAGAACTGGACAAAGGGCGGAAAAGTTTCTGTCCTCGTGGAGCTGGGATTCTTAATAAAAAGTTAAAATCAAAAATAGGATTTTAAAACACTATTCTGTAGTAGGTAATAGCCCAGTGCCCTACTATTCTAGAATTCAACAAAGAGGAGAACTGACATTAAATACAACAAAGAGTCAAGTCAATTAATCAACTGGACTGTTAACGAGTCCCACCCCGTGCTGAACCTGGTCCCGGAGAGTGTTAAGAATTTTGTGGATAAACGATCCAGTTTTATACAGAGCATCAGAGAGTCATGTAAGTAGACAACAAAAGCCCTCAAGTCCTTCCTGTCATCACACTGAACCGTGTGGCTTATTTCAAGACCACAAGGAAGGTAAACAGATCACTTCTGCAGAAACACCTGCTCACATCTGACATCGTGGGAAAAAACACAAAAGTCTGCTCTGGACTCGAACACATGTCAACTCTGAGACTAAATCACTCACAAGTTCACTATATAAAAGATGTGTAAAATGACAGTGACAGAAGCAGAAAGTGCACTTGAAGGTTCACAATAAAAAAATCACAACTTGGGACAACTGGATGGACAGCCACGTGGAAAAGGATGAATCAGGACCCGCATCTCACAACAGACAAAAAACAAGCACAAGCACAAGCGATGAAGAAAATGGGCCCTGGCTGGTGTAGCTCAATGGACTGAGCGCGGGCCTGTGAAGCAAAGGGTCGCCGGTTCAATTCCCAGTCAGGGCACGTGCCTGGATTGCGGGCCAGGTCCCCAGTGGGGGCCATGTAAGAAGCAACCACACACTGATGTTTCTCTCCCACTCTTTCTCCTTCCCTTCCCCTCTCTAAAAAATAAGTAAATAAATAAAATATTAAAAAAAAACAGGATCACATGACTTTTTGAAAATTGTTTTTATATGTCAAAAGGCACCATTTAAAAACTGAATAGACAACTCACAGAATAGGAAAAAATCTTCAAAATACACATATAAGAAACTGATACCCAAAATATATAAAGCCCAGTAAGATAGACTAATGCAATTTAAAAATGAACCAAGAATTTCAACAGATACTTCTCCAGACACACAAAATGCTGCTGAGTGTGCGTGAAAAGGTGCTCCACACTGTCAGTCACTACGCAAATGCACATCAAAAACCACGAAAGGCACCACTTCGCCTCCACCAGGACGGCTGTGAGCAAAGGACAGAGGGCACCAAGTACTCGGGCAAAAACCCAAGACCCGGCACCTTCACATATTGCTGCTGAGAATGGCAAGTGTGCACTCACACGAGTGGAAAGTTCGGCAGTTTCTCAAAATGTGAGCACCTGTCCCAGCAACTCCACTCGTAGGTGTGCACCCAGAACAAACAAAAACGCGCACACGCACATTCACAGCAGCATCCTCCAGAGTACTCAGAGCGTGCACACTCCCGACCATGCAGTGGATGGACATTGGCCCACGCAGTGCGTGCCAGGCGACAAGAAGGGACAAGGAAAGCAGTGCCTATGCTGCAGTGTCAAGGCCACGGAAAACGTCCGGCTGAGTGAAAGCAGCCGGACCTAACGGGGGAAGCACTGCACGCATCCCCTTCTGCAGGACACCCGGACAGGGCAGGTCTGCAGCTACAGGAAGCAGCCTGGGCCCACCTCCAACAGAGGGAAAGAACAAGGAACAACTGAAAATGGGCGCGGGGCTTCTCCTGGGAGCGAGAAAAGCGGTGGCATGTCCCCTGCGATGAAGCAGCACGACTCTGAGTGGATACAATCGTGGACCTGCATGTGCGAGATGCACGGGATTCACGGCATATGAGCTGCAGCTCCGTAAAGCTGTTCGAAAATACACCACCACAGTCCCACGGGGTCCCAATCTGGGACATTAAAAATGCAGGAGAAAGTAAAAGTGAGCGCTAACCTGTGCTCCGCCTCAAGTGAACTGGAAAGCACGTCGGTCTGAGGAAAGGTGGAGGAGCGAACGACCTGCTGGGAGACCACCACGGCGTTGCCGTTCTCCTGCGGGATTTCGTTGTCATCGAAGTTCCGGTTTATGTCCCTCTCTGGGTGAGCACTGTTGCTGTTATGCAGGTTAAACGGGTCGTCGTCCTGGTTTTTAGGGAGTTAAAGAAGAACGAGTTCGAGGATACCACAGTTAAAAACTTGAACAGAACCTGGTCACCTTCTGTTGATAACACAGAAAGGCGACACTTACAACCCTTACATCTGACATTCTCACAGGACAGAACGAGGCTGCGGTGGGTACGCAACATTTGCTCTCTAACTCCGAGACACACATCTATTCAACAAAGGCCACCACCCACAGATGAAGGCAGGACACGCGGGAAGACAGAAAAACACGTATGGAGAGGAACTTCTTCAGTTTTCCCTTTGCACAGGAAACACAGAACGGGAAAAACCGTCCGTAAACAGAAAGTCACCGAAGTGTATACCCATTCACAGCCCCGAGCCCCTGCAAGCGAGCCAGTCACCTTCTCGGAGCCAGCGCGGCTCTCGTCCTCGTGCTCCTCTTCCACGCGGTCCCTCTTCAGGGCCTTCAGGAACTCACTCTTCTTGTCCGTGCGCGTCCGCGTCAGCTTGGTGAGACGAGGCTGCTGACTAAGTGTATCGACGGGTGAAGAGGAGTTGGAGCGGCGACACTAGGAAGGGGTCAGAACCACCGATCAGCACGCGGACAGAGGGCCAGTGTCGGTGGGAAGTTCACAGCCACCACGCCCCTCTTCTCACCGGCACTCACAGCGCGAGGCCGATTTCCGCCATCCCCGTGCCTTCTACCCACACCACTGCCTGAGTACACAAAAGCATTTTCTCATCCCAGAAACAGCTGCGGTCTGACAAGACCACTCTAAATTAGGAGTTTACTACTTTTTGTACTACTCTTTTTTAGACACAGGGGTATAGAAGGAGAAAGAGAGAGAAACATCAACGTGTGGTTGCCTCTCGAGCTCCCCCTACTGGGGACCCAGCCCCCAACCCAGGCCTGTGCCCTGACTGGGAATCAAACCAGCGACCCCTGGGTTCACAGGCTGGCGCTCAGTCCACCGTGCCACACCAGCCAGGGTAAATCCTATTTTTATAAAACAAACCCTAAAACTGTGTAAGTGCCTCAATCACACACAGAAAGGCAGGGTTGTAAACTGTGCTGCACAGGGCCTGATGGCCCGGAGCTCTACCGGCAGTGCCAACGAGACCTGGCTGCGCTCACGTACACGCAGGGAGGCTTTCACCAGTAAGACACTGTGGAAGGGCAACAAGGAAGAGAACGAGGACCACATTCGGATGCGTGCTGTGCTCAGTGTTCCGTCTGGACAGTGGGACACAACACAGAACAGAACATGAGCGCGCCGCACCAGAGGCTTTAACCACGGCAAAGAGCCGTGATGCTGGACCACTGGCACCACCTGCGAGACAAGAACGGTGCCATGCCACAGCCAGCTGAGATGGCTAGTCCTTCCACCAAGGCTCTGGAACCCTGTGACTGAGAACCAGTGCATGGGGGGCTCTGGTGCTCCCACGTGGTGCCCAGGGCACTTGCAGTGTGATCAGAGTCACGAGTGTCTTCTGACCATGAACAGGGCAGGGGACTCCCTGCTATGGACAGTTCAGAGGCCTGGACAAATGCCCCAGAAGTACCCCACTTACCAGGAGTCTGAAGTCAGCTCAATAATATGCCTCTTTCCTCCCCCTCCTCCCCTCTGTTTTCTGAATTGTTTAACAGCCCCACAAGAAGATGAAATTACACAAATCCTCAATTGGAGTCAAGGTTCAATCATATGCCTAGCATCACTCTATTCCAACTATCAAAACGGTGATTTCCCTGATATGGTATTCTTTTCTGTACATTTTGGAATATTTGGAAAGTTTCATTAAAACTTTAAAAAACTTATTCCTGGTTAACTAATGTTCAAAAGTGTTAGCAAATACAGGGAAAGTATCTGAATAAAGTTTTGAGAAAAAACTACATCATCTCATTTTAATCATCCATTTAATGAAACTATGCCTTTTGCTGTTAACGAGTCGAGCCTGAGTACAAAACGTTGCAGTGCTCAGAAATGGTGTTCAAGGCCATACCTCTTTCACCGACGTTGCTGATGGGGTAAAGTTCTTGGCAGCTGATTTAAAAGCATTGAAGTTGCCAACGCTGTACGTAGATTCATGAGAGAAACCAGCGCCCACTTTATTCTCTTTAGTTTGGCTTTTCCACTGTGTAGGCTAAAGAAAAACACATACACACACACGTTAGTGTAATAAAGAACACAAATGACCTAGAAGAGAGAAAAACACAGCAAATGGTATAAAGGTGATCACGTGGGGCTCACAGAAACAATCATTTCTGCATTGACCTTCACACTCCCACAGGATTCTCTGGCATCTTTTTCTACAAATTAAATTGGAAGTGTGGTTTTCAGATAAAAATATCTAACTACATTGCTATTTTTTCCATTTTAGAAGCCTACAGTTTAGATTTCTTTTGCAATGTCAAGAAAACACTAGTGGGAGTTTCAAAAAGCTAAGACCATAACACCAAGGAAACAGCAAATATATCACAGTTCCAGTTAACAGAAACGTTACAGATTTCATTCCCTACTAAAACGAGAACACATACATGGACACACACGAGAACACATACACGAACACACGAGGACACATACATGCACACCCGAGAGCACATACATGGACACGCAAGAACACATGCATGGACACACACCACTGAAATAATGACATATAACACACCACCTCTTTCCACTCAAACTTGGCACCTCACCAAATACCCCCACAATTTGGTGTCAAGTTTCTAACCATATTTTCCTGAAGTGACTCCACTGGTGCACTTCTAAGAACGTAGGACTTACTTTTGAAGGTGGAGCAGCAGGCTTCGGGACTAGCCCTTTATAGACACTTGGACCAGCCCCGTTCTTAACCGGCTGTGACGGAAGATTTCCGACTCCTGGGAACCCAGAGAGCTGGAAGTCTTTTGCGTTCCCTTTCTTAATGACCAGCATCCTTGGAGCTCTAGATTTAGGGTTCGGAGGATACTCTGCATAAATAAAGCATGAGCAGGAGTTACACATGGTTTACCGCTTAGCACAGAATTAAAGCACCAAACGCACAGCACACGCTAAACCTCAGTCACATTTAAAAACCACTGTCGCCTCCTGGGCAACGTGAGCTGCACTCCCACCTAGGAAGCCCGGCTGACACACTGGATAGACCACAGAGGAACTGCGCAGTGTCGGTGACTACTGGCGAATGCAGCTGCACAGTGGCCTTCAAAGGCCCACAATGTCCACACCAAGGTGAACTAGAGTCTAGCATATTTTAATGACTTTTTTCATTGCAATTTTCACCCTAATGGCTCTTAACACTAGGAATGTAAAGTATATAGTCCTTTTTTCCCTTTTGAAAGGAGAAGTCTCCTCGTTTCTTTCCATTCTTTTTCATCTCACTTATAAAGTCGTCACTAATAAGCAGAGAACCACAGTTCCTCTATTTCTACTTCGGTTAAAACTAACTGACAGAGTTCTATCCTCACACCACCAATCCACTCATTCCAGTATTCACTGAGCATCGAACTACGCTGAAGGCATCTGTAAGCTGCAGGGCAACCGACCCCACCCCAGCTTCAGGAGTCAGCACAAGGACTGGCCGTCACTAACTAGAAGCTTTCCTCAGGACCGTGGCAGGTGTTAAAGTGTGAAAACCTACTAGCAGAGTTCAGTGGCACGTGTGAGCGTGCTCACGATTATTGTAACAGAAAGCTCTGAAAGCACCAGGTCTGTGGCGTTCAGAGCACACACAAAGGAGTCCAACGACTAAGGAGGGACTGTAGACTAAGACTGGGAAACGCCACGAGGCAAAAATAAAACCTTTTCAGACAAAAATTAAAAATCGATCACGAAGCAAAGGTCCTTATTAAAGTACATTCTAAATGATGTACTTCAGACGGAAGAAAGACAATCCCGCACATAAGACCACAGGTACAGGAAGCAAAGAAATAGTATTTTTTCATATACAAACTATCAATGATCAAAATGGGAAGTCGAAAGAGGAGGGGAGTAAATAAGCAAGCAAGCAGGGATGTTCCTTTTAAGCCTCGATGTGGCTAGGGACTACTAAGTTTACCTGTCCTACCACTGGACTCTTAGATACCCAGGAGTAAGGAACATGCTGGCTGTTTCCTCCAAGAAGCTTGGATGCAGGGAAAGAGCAACAGGGAAGCCTCTGGGACCAGTCACAGTCACAGAAGAACAGACAGCAAAGTAAACAACAGGCAAGGCTCCTGGAGGAGGGGCGAGGGGCAGGGAAGGAAGGGCAGCAGACACAGCGCTGACGCACGGAAGCACACCGTGCTCAAACGTTAGAGCACAGAGTTCGGAACCTGTGGTTCTGTTCCAGGTTTACAGAATTCTATACTTGCTCCAATCTTACTAGGTAGTCTCTCATCTATAAAATGGAAAATAGTTCTCATCTCAAAGTTACTGTAGTATTTCCTTTAGTAAATCAGGAAAAAAAAATGTCCTGAGAAGTCATGTATTGTATCTGCCATGACAGGCTTCCAGTTACACTTCAAAGGTGTACTCTTTGGGGAATTTTAAATTGACCCACGGGACTACAAAAGATGAAAAAAACTGTAATGGAAATAAAGACGATGAAGATTAACTTTGCCCTGTGTACGCCTGTGCTGAATATCCTACGTGAACCTGCCCACCGAAGACCATGGAAGTGTGTGTAACAGCAACGACTACACAGAGGTGATGGAAAGGGTGGCAGCAGCACTCAGAGCCGAAGCTGATGTTGCATCATGTGTGTCCACCTTATGTCACTTAAGAACTGGTGTATCTGACCACACACTGTTCCTACAAACTCTCCTGAAACAAACCTTCCAAGGTAAGGTTGAGGCTATCAGATTCCAACAGTATCCAATGTCTCCAACACCTTTTCCATTTACTCTGTCAACTGGAAACTATAAAGTTTTTGCAAATTATTTGCAAAAGATCCAAATTATTTGTTCTTTTAAAGGGAAAAAACGATGTACTGATGAAATGCTTTAGCTTAGAATTTGAAAGTTACTCACTTTGGTAAACTGCATGTGCTGATTACCTCAAGCTCCTAAGCAGGTATTTTCATTCAAATCTAAGTTCAACACACCTGAAGGCAAACATGACTTTGGATTTTCACATCACTGCTTCCCCCTGTCCTCACAAGCTACTGTAATCCACCAATCACTGATTTTAAACATCCCTCGATCATCCCGTTATTCCTGCTTTCCCAATACCTGAGACTACAACTAGTTTTATTCCTTCCGTACAAAGTCAAAGGGGGAAGGGCAGTAGCTCAAGTCTTTGGAAGAAGAGAATTAAAATGCTGCCACATGTAATTCCAAGTAAACTGGTCTCAATTTCTCTGCTTTTCTTTAACTAAGCTCTCTACACAGCTGCCATGTAAAAATTCTTTCCGATTTCAATTACTTACTACTTTATTCTCTGATGCATCAGTAAAAATTCTTTTTTTTTCGGGGTGAGGGACCTTTTCATAAATCTACTAGAAGCTCCCTGGCTTAGTAGATTTGAACAACAGGATTAAACACCTATAACATGATCAAGGGTTTTACACAGCAGACACGCGTGGATGGTGCTCTCTCTACACGGGTCGCTGATCCTCCTCATCCCGCACGTGGGAGACCGAGCACAATGCTCCCAAAGGCTAAAAAAACCACCTGTGAGTAAGTGAAAGACCTCATGCTGGGCCCCAGACCCAACTCCAAAGCCAAGGTGCTCCAGCACAGCACAGCACTACTGAAGGACAGAAACCCAACCACTGCTAGCCAGACACTTCAAAATGTTTGCCACTCCCAACTGAAAACACCAAGTCCGTGCTGAATGGTCAGGGCAAAGGCCTGTAACTGCGCACAGCCCCGTGACGCCAGGCCACCCCTCCCTCCACTGTCACACTGACACTGGTTTGAACTGAGTTTCCTCATCACCGTAACGCAAGAAAAGACAACTTTATAGTGCAAACCAAAGCATACAGCCAAGTGCACAGTGAATGCTAATGGAGGAAAGTTCCACACTGATGGGGGAGGAACTCAGGCACACAAGACACCACACACAAACACCACATTCAAAGACTCTGTATCACAGCAATTAAAACAAACTCCTATGTGAACACTGTTTTTAACAAATAATCTAAGACTGATGCTGTTTGAATTTGGCTGGTTTTGAGTTTTTAATGTACATACAAATCTGTCCTCTTTTACAGTAGTCGGAGGGTCACTGAATGAGTCTCACTAACAGACTTTATGTGTGTGGCAGGGGCTGGCATTTCTCACTCACGTGACGGACAGGCTAGAGGAGAACCCTCTGGAACAGAACAAACGCACAGGATGGACGTGCGACGTGCCCCACTCTGACCACACAGAGTTCACCATGTCACGCCGTCTGATCAAACCCCACGCACTCTCCCTCCTCAACTGTGAACACGGCTGCATTACCTTTCTCTTCTTTATGCAATGATTTTAATGTTTCCATAAGAAAGATATTAGAGGAAAATGGAATCATTTCAGTACAAACAATTTACCGACAAAATGTTTACAAAGGAATTTGATAAACATTATTCCGTTCTCTTAATTCTACTTACATAGTTCCTTTTTTAAAAAGTGGGTTTCGACATGATCTAACTCATTTAATTAAATCAGGTCTGCATGCTTGTGGCTAGTATCGCTGGAATTCTCTACAAAACAACCCATCTTTAAGAAGTAGCCACCAATTTGCTTTGATTTCAAAGACAAAACTCTTAAAAAGGAACCCTGATGCTTTCAAGTAGTGATGTGAAATATGAGCAAAAATTGTAAAAGTTCTTCAGGTTATAAAAGAATACACACTAACATAGGTGCTGAACTGAAACAAAACGAAGCTTTAAGTTAATGACTGAAGTTTTGATTACTGAGTATCTCAAGCACTACGCATTAGCCTCTGCTTAATAAGGTATTGCTGACATGTCGTGTCGACACAAAAATAGCCAGCAGGACTCCTGAAATCAAAAAAATCAGTTACTAATTATGTCTCCAATTGCAGACAAATACATAATAAACACATGTCGCTTTATCTCTTTTTTCATCCACTAAACAAATCACACAACTGAAGTATGATAAATTCTCACAGACACACTGAAGTGCCCTGGATTCTTGTTTCAAACGGTCACAGTCATGGAAGTAAGACCGACCGAGTCAGCGTCAATTCTGTGCCCTGACCACGGTGACCCTGGTTAGGGTCAGAGCTCCATCAGTCACAGACATGAGTTGCATGAAGGTGCTCCTAACAAATCTGACCCAGTTCTGAGCAGAATTAAATTTATGTAACTGCATTTTAAATAGTGCATTACTTTCCCAAAAGGTTATTTTTTAAATTGGGATATTATGTTTAGACTCTTCTTGATCTATAAAGGGACAGCTTCAGGGACAAACTATTTTTATGTTTAATACTTATTGCATTTTCATTATTAAATTTTTACTTACCTGGAAGAAGGCAGCACTAGAAAAGTTCTACTGAAGTCTTTCCTAAATTTCTCTCATGTCTTCCTCAGGAACATAATAGCTATTTTAAATGTTGCAATGGGTATGACAATATTGGGAACCCAGCAGGGGAAGTGAGAAAGCAATAATGAAATGCGATACAATGAAACTTTCATTGTATTCCTATGGGAAGTACTGGGAATTTAACAATTAACCATGCCACAATGAACCATCTTTTTTTCTTAAAGCAGACACACTTCTCAGTAATGAGTACATTTTCCTTTTAAACATCTTTTCCACTAATACTCAAAATCCTTATACCAACCCTGAAACAGTACAACCAAAAATCTGCATATTAATATACCGCACTGTCAATATTTGTCAAAGATGCATTTGCCTTTAAATAATTTCTAAAAATTATTACATTAACCAAGGATCAATATAAGTTTTATATGACAAATGTTCACTGACATTCTCGACTTTTTATTTACTTTCATTCTAGTCAAATTATCCAAATTATTCCTAGTCTCTTAGAGATGCTATTTAACACCTTCCAGGTGATTCTAGACTCTAATGCAATCAGCGGTTCCCAGAAAAACTGAATAATAAGGAGACATACCTAAGAGAGGAGCTGGGGAGGATTTTTTGGTTGGGAATGTGTGTGCCTGGGCGTGTAGGCCTGGGGAGAGTGGCAGAAATACTAATTTGCAATACAGAAAACACAATGCCATTCACACGGTTCTAACAAGTGTCTGACCACCCCCACCCCCACCCTCGAAAAAACCCTTAAATAAATCTGGCGATCAAAGAGAAACAAAATAACTGCCCAGAGCACCACCCCATATATACAATAAAGAGCAGCATGGGAAGTGGCAAAGTTTAAAATAATGCCTTCACTGCTGGACCGTTACGCTGTCACCACAATCCTGTTTTGGTAAGCTGTTGACTTTCAACAGGAAAACAGAGATGAACGTGTGTACAAGTTCCAAAGTGAGTAGACATCACTTCTGAATTTGGTATCAAATAATCAAATTTATTTTTCAGGTATCAAATCTCATTATGAATTTTTCCATTATTTTAAACTTCACTTAAATCTTTAAAAAGCTAATTTATACTGAGTGCAGTTTAACAGAAAAGGGAATTACTGTCAGAAAAACTGTCATTAAACTTTGACAATCAAAAAGGCAAATAATTACAAGCACAGACTACTTCCAGAGGCAAATTCACACGATTATATCTAAATACTCTCTATGTATAACCATTTTCATAAGTAAAAAAATTAAGTTTGTCACACTGTAATTAGTATTTATCTTCCCAGTTAAATTCTCAACTTTGTAAAACTAAAAATTAATTTAAACTAAGTCTTTTCTTTAGATTAATGAACTGTTCTCAAAACGACATCCATTCATTAACATCAACTTACACCCATTTTTTTTAAATTCAAATGTGAGTATACTTAATGGTACAAACAAGGGCAAATCAATTATTTCTACTCAAACTCTTCTTCTATCCCCAGTATCTTGTTTTGAAAGGTAAGTGCCACCTTTTCTGTAACTTAGCACATCAAACCATATTGAAATTAAATTCTAGCCCATGTATTGTAAGAACACAGAGGTGAAACCTACGAATAACATTTTATGCCCCTCAAAGACAGACAAAAGATTAAATGGTTACTTACCCCATACACCTGCAGCTAAAGACTTATTCTGATTTGGTTCTCTCTCATACTCAGGATTTAAAGATGGCTGAAAGAAAATTGGAATCAAAATAGTACAAAAAATGTATAAACTTTAAAGTAATCTCAAAGTCATAGTGAAAAACCTAATGACATCACCCCCTCAGCAATTAAAGACCAATTATAAACACAAACCTAAGTTTCGGCTTAGTTTGCTAATCATGAAAATGGTTACTATCTGTACTCACTCCTAGTAAGGAAAAACAAGGAAAATGTCAGAAAAACATATGAGCAAAAGAGAACATAGTTGTATTAATCTGAGAAATATCCTTTCTCAGCAGAAGGTCAAGGGCAGGGAAGAGAAAAATCAAACTGTCCCCCAATTCTTGTTGTTTTCATTACTGGATGCTTTACTTAAAGACATACTTATCCTCAAAGCAAAGTGTAAATTCTTACTTAAACAAGCGATGCTCACGATACTGAGAAGAAACAGAGCTGAGCACTGAACGTGAACTCCAAAGCTAATCTTTAGATACGTTCACCCTCTAAAATCCTAAATTTCCAGTAATTACATCCTATCTTTTTGATATCACATAGCAATACAGCCTGCCATGCCATAAGGTGCCTAACATGTACTGAATAAAAATGAATCCGAGTAAAAGTATTTTAATCACCACAAAAGTGAATGAAAAGCACTCCATGGCATCACCACCAAACACCCAAAGAGCACGCATGCGCACTGGGCCAGGTTCCTTGACACAAACTGAAGGGGACCAAGGAGACCCTGGTGGAGAGCACACGTGTCTTTTCACAAACGCACTACTGTAAGGTGTGTCATGACTACAGGCCTGGTGGGCTCCAGTGCCAGGGCTGTGATAGCTGATGCCCATGGAAGTGGGGGTGCAGCGTCATCGTAATCGTAATCGTAATAGTAATCGTAATAGCAGCAACAGCAGCAACTAGGTTTCAGTGAATGCCTGCTATGTGCCTGGCATTTCTGTAAGTGACTTTAACTTGTATTACTCATTTAACCCTCTCAGCACTATAGGAGCACACCATTATCATTCCTGGTTTCCATTTTGTCCCAACTAGGCAAGTAAAAAAAACGGACTACAGAAATGGAAAGCTCAGTGATTCTAAGGTTAATAGATGACTACACATAATCTTTGTTCTCTTTCCCTCACCAGTCCCCTGCCCTAAAACCAATCTGTCCAATTCTTTCTCTCACTTCAAACCTCCAACCAATCCACCACCGAACTACACGAGACACGTACCCTCACCTGCCCGGCTACCAGCCCAGCCAAGCCATCGTGCTTCTCCTGGACCACAGCCACCACCTAACTGGTCTCCCTGCTCTCTTGAGTGGTAAAAGCCACTCAAGTCCTGACTTCTACTGGAACGGTCTTCAAAGAAAGGAGAATCAACTCCCGGACTTCACTTCTCTCCTGAAAGGCTTCCGGCTGCATTTGAAGTTAAACTAAAGTTCTTTCCCTTAAACATGACAAGCTCACTCCCACCTCTGGGGCCTCCCCACAGCTCTCCCCCTTCCTCCCAGTCCGACCACAGCACTTACCTTCCTATCCCAGATTAAAGGACATTCCCCAGAGACACCTCTCCTGACCTCCCAAACCACAGTGGCCACTCAGTTACTTCCTATCTAAATTCTCCGCAAAACAGTCATTATTTTTCCTTTCTGTAGTGTGAAGGCCCTCAACAGAACAGAAACTCAGTAAGAGCAAGGACCTGGCCTATCTTTCTCACCTGTGTATTTGGGAAGGTCACGAACAGCTAGACTCAGAGCCATGTACACACATGCGGAATGAAGAATGAACATGTACACAAACAGATTATCAGCAATGAATCACAAGAACTACATAATGAATGTACACTAAATCACTTTTTATGTAGCTTGAGAAACGTGGTGTTTAGAAAGCCAGCCACACGGTGATATTTACCCAAAGGAAAAATATTAACAAAATTTTGTGTTTAATTAGTGGAGCTGACATTCCTAATTATTTCTGACTTAGGCTAACAATTAGTTTGCCTTCCCTGACCACAAAAAAACTCAGAGACAATAGCTCAAAGAAAGGAGAGCTATCCTGGAATTAGTTTAGGAGTGTACATGAATAATCAAGTGTTAAGAGAGACAATCTAAGTAAAATGTACTGATAAAATATTCCTTCCAAAAGTTTATCAGATTTTTAAAGATACTATGATGCATTTGCAAATAACCCGGGCATTATTTCTAAGAGACATGGTTTATATTTCTGTAAGAAATAAAACAACACAAACTTATCAAGACCACATGGTGAGGAAGACTCAGGAGTAAGTAGGAGGAGAGGAGAGGGTGAGGGGAAGGGAGAATGATGAACAAAAGCCTTAAAAAAAAAGCAGGCTTGGCAAATGAGACCCCCACAGGGAAGGAGCTGGGCTGATAAACCCTCCCGCTGCCCCCACTGCCCCAGCACCTGCGGAAACAGCACTTGGACTCGAGTCACAAGGAACTTACAAAATCCTCCGCCTCGAACTGCCTGCGCTCTCTCTTGTCCTCTCTCCTCCCTGGGTCGCTGTCAGGGACGCTGTTCTCGTGCAGTCCTTGACTCCTTCCAGGATGGAAACCGCTGCTGCGAGAACGGGAGCCGCCCCCGCCGTGGTAGCCCCCCCGGTGATTTATGTTTTCAGCTCCATTTCTTCCGTGTGTCCGCCATCCGTTTTTCTCTTTCCTTCCAAAGTTACCTTTTTTGATCACAGAAAGTATTACAAATTCAAAGTAGATAGTTATGCCTAAAGAATGAATCACAATCAAAACATTCCTAAAGAGGATTAAAAAAACCCTTAAATTCTATCATTCCTTAGCAAATTTTACCTCCGTTAGGACGTCCGATACCAGAATCAAAGCCATCTGAAGAGTTGTGTCGTCGACGATTCACATCATAACGACTCTCTGTCCATGAAAAGTTCTCAGAATGCTTCTCGAAATTCAACGAAGACTGAAACACATTACAAGCATATAGGTAAACCTACATGTAAAACCTAAACATAACCAACTTTAAAAACTAACACTCTCTGGCTTCATTTATTCCCAAGAACGTGAACCGGTCAGGAAGACTCTGCAGTTGTCCGCGGTGTGCCTGCTGCCTGGCCCCGTGCAGGCTGGGCTCCGCGGGTGCGCGCTCTCTACCCGGGGAGAACAAGGGCAGCGGCCGCACAGGGCTCACGCCGCCTCAACCGGCCTGAAACGTCAGAGGTGACCGGTGTGAGGGAAACAAGGCAACGCACAGTGCGTTTCTCTTGTAACAAAATGTGATCATCTGTACCACACACTGCTTGAATTAAACAGCTCAAGGTTTTCTACGATAATAGATATTACAGCGAATAAAGCTATAGTTCTATCTTAAGTTCTCTAAATTTACTTCAAAACTCCTCCTTCCCCAAAACAAATGTTTTAAAAAATTATCAAAAGGATGTGTAAAAACTATTTTTAAATACTAGTAACTGTATAATAAAAACTATTTATGAAAATTGCTGTTTTTCCCCAATATTAACCCATTAATGTGATTAAAGCACAATCAAAACTTCCAACTTTTTCAAAGCCCTGATCATTTCTGAGCTGTATTAGGCAACACTTTCCTCCAGGACAAAGAGCCCCTCCCTGTGGGGGACCCACCACATACACCCAACTGGGCCTCCCCCGCTCACGCTGCCCCAAGGGACTTCTCGGTGCCAGATCCCTGCTTCTTCAGGCTTCGTGCTGTGTACTAGGCCGTGAAGGACAAGGTCCTTGACTGTCACGTGTTGTCTCCCAACACCCATGAAACAGGACCAGACCAGTCTACTAAGTCTGGACACAGGATAAAAACCTAAACCCTGCACCGCAGACCTGCGTTGTGGCGATGCGGACATCACGCTCACAGAGCTAACGGTGTAAAGGGAAGCTGAGGGTCCCCTGGCCCAGACCAGGGCACATGAGAAGACTCTCCAGGACCTGCAGCAACCGTTCTCATCCAAGTGGCAGATTTGAAACCAGTGCCAAAAGGGTGCTGTGGTTGTCCTCTCCTAGCAAGTGGGAGAAGGGATGCTTCCCTGCAACAAGGGGACCCAGACGAAAGGCGCTGCAGCTGTGACTGCACATGTTCAGAGTCTGTTCGTTAGGGCTCAGCTGCTGCTGAGGCTACTGGAAGAAAGCAAATGCAGAGCCCTGCTTCTTGGAGCAACTGCCCCACCACACTGACCTCAGTTACTGTAACCAATGAGTCAAGTGTAGGAGAGACACTTTCACAGCTCTCCTGGACACACGCGTCCAAGTCCCTGTCCTGGCCACTCCCATGATGGGAAGAGTACTGAGCCCAGCGATGAATAACACAGTGCCCAGAAGCATGGGGCAAAGCCACGAAGGGACAAGGGAGGGCCCCAGCCTGAAAGACTGTTGGAACCAGGTGGTGCACAGGAAGAGAAGGCAGCACCAGCCTGCTGAGGCGCCCTGGAGAGAGAAACAAAAAGCCTCCAAGTCATGCAATCAGTTCCCAAAGAGGCAGTCTTACCCTCCACCCTGTACTCCAACCCGTCCCAGCTGAACCTGGAAGCTTAGACTGCAGCTGTAACAGCACACACTGAACTCCTTAGTTCCTGTCCTGTAGTTCCTGTCCCCAGAGCAGGAATTGGTGCCCCAATGGCTCAATCTGAGACTAGATCTGAGTGCTAGAGCTAGAAAAAAATCCAGCAGGAGGCAAAGGAAACTCAAGTGATCATGCCGGTGGTTTTAGGCCCATTCAGTGCACTGCTGTGCTGTGCAGGTGGTGCTACTGTGACAAGCTTGTCCTGAAAAGGCTCAAGACCCTCCCCCATTGAGGGTTAGGGTTGCAGAAGAATAGGTGTAGCCATCCTATCACTTCCAGGTTCCCAGAACATGGCAATGGGGAGGGAGCTGAAGGTGTGGAGGTTGCTGGAGGACTGAGTCTGTCTCCCAGCCCCGTAGTGCCACCTGCCTGACATGGGCACCAGGTACACTCCTTCTGTCAAGGGGATATGGCTCTTGCCCTACTGTTGAGTTCTGATCAAAAGCAAACACCTGAAACTAAGGACTAACCCAAAAAAGGGCCCCACAGGACTCAACTAAAAGTAGTAAGCTCAAGGGTACAGTTGACCTAGCCCTAGGGACACCTCAGCCCTGCATGAACAAGTGGCAACTACCTTCTGGAGTAAGAAACCTTAACGCCTTCCCTGATGCCTGTCGCAGCCCCTGGTTTAGTAAAGCTCACCAGTCATCACAGTTCCCCTGAATGTCTGGGCCTTGTTCACTGATGACTCAACCAAGCGAAAAGGTGACGGTGTCCTCTGGGCTGCAGCAGCCACAACTCTGAAGACCAAGTAAGTGTCAGTAGGCGCAATGGGGTAAAGTGGGAGCAGGGACCCCTCACCTTACGTGACATTCTCAAGGCCCAGATATTTTACATTTTTCTGGCTCTGCCTGTCGGCGTGTGACTTCTGCCAGAAGCTGGTCCGCACTGACACTAGGGACTTGCATCAAGCCTCTGACCACTTCTTGGAGAGATCAATGGCACCTCATCTTGTTGGGACTTTTACAAGTTACAGTGTCACCCACTGCAGCAGTCTGACTGGCTAACTTTGGTCATGCTATTGTGATCCTCAAAATTAACCCATGTTGTGTTTTTGGCATTCCGGACAAGCAGCAGTCATCTTCGGTCAAAAAGGCTGCCCCCACAGCAGGCCAGCATTCCATGCTTCCTACTACCCACTGGCACCTGGTGCATTCTAATCATCTCCTCAAAAACCAGCGCAGAGCACCCTGGAAGTCAGCAGCCCTCGCCCCTCACACACCTCAGTAAGGGAGCCACTGGTCAAGAGTATGACCCAGCCTGGCCACAGAGACCATCTCCTCCACCACGTCCTGAACAGCAGTCAGAAGGAGAAGTGACAAGTCACGAGACTACCTAGACCTACTGTAGACACTCCAGATCCTGGCCTGCTTAATAACCTGGACATGACGCTTCTGTGTTTCCTCTAAGTACACATGCAGGCCATGCCAGCCGTCAGGGTGATGGCCTGGCACAAAGGAACCTAAGGAATTCAGATACCCTGGCCTAGCCACCAGGTTTGCCCTCCGGGACTGAGTGGTCCTGGATCTGCAGGCATGAGGATCCGCGTGAGTGCCGGCCCCTTCTCACCAAGCCTTTCCCAGCAGCGTTGCACGTGAACCAAGGTGAGGGCTGGCATGGCTCCCTGAAAACTGTGTCAAAATGCCCTGGCTCTCCCAGATTCAACTCCTCAGGATCAGAAATCTGGGGACTGTTCTGTCCTTTCTCTGTGAACTCTGAGCTACTGGAACGGGACACACAGAGATCTCGTGGTGGTAGAGGGAGCGCCTGTGATCCCAGCAGGTACCAAGACGGAGAGCAGGGAATGCTCTCCCCCTGCCCCTAGAGCCAGCACCGCTGCCTGCCTCCCACAGCAGCTGGACACCACTGACCCGCCATCACGCCCACGGGCTGAGACCAGAGCCACTTCTGTGGCTCTGACGGCCCTTAGCTGCTGTGCTGCACCTGCCCAAGAAGAGACCCACTCCAGACCATGTAAGGACACACACACAGTCCACCCTGCACACCGTGTTTCATCCTCCAGATAAAAATGCACACGGTCCTCTTAACACCCAAATGGTCTTAACGGTCGCAATTTTCAACCGGTGTGCTACAAGAAGTGTCAAACACACCGTACCTGACTAGTCAGGGGCACTGACCTCTTTTCCCTCAGACTGGCAAATAAAAAGTAACAATAGAAACACAACAACTATTGTACTTAAATGAATCAAAACTACACCTATTTTTGGTCAGATAGGCAAAAGATGTACTTTTTGGTGTGCTGCAGAATTTCAGTAACTAGTTTGTGTGTGCCCTGAGACAAAAAGTTGAGAGCTGCTGTCCCACCTGTGATGCCATGTATGGTGACACTGTGAATGTCACTTAAGCAAAATGACATAATAGGGACCCAAATCAAGTTTAACATCACATCCCAAACTAAAGTGATCTGTGTCCCTGTCAGGAGACATGTTTGTGTAGAGGAAGTAAATCAGCCACAGAATGTCTTTTACTGAGGATGAGAGCTGCTTTTTGGCCCATCTATCGCCTCTACAATCACAGGTAATGACACCAAAATCCAGGTCAGTTTAAACTCCCTTGAGAGGTTAACAAGTAATAGGGTGGCCTTAAATCATACACTAGTGGCTAAAAAACCATCTACTGGTCCCCCTGAAATTGATTTACAGTTGAGAACAAACTCAACCTACTGCTTGGTTTTTGATTTATCATGTAAATGCCATTTATCAAGATGTAGTAAATGAATTCAGTTCTACTCTCCATTAGCTTAATCAGAGTGGCTGGCAGAGTTGTACAGTCAAGTGACAATACAAGTTTGGCCAAGAACACACAGGGCTAATGAGTAGACTGTTGGGATGCGCAATCAGAATGTTCTTAACTACTGTGTGCCAAGAGCACAAGGCCTGGACTGCTCTTTTGGTGTGGCCCGCTTCTAAGGGTTAAGTTTGCAGCAAGCTGCATTAAGAAATAGGTCATATCCTTCTCTGGGCCAAGAGCAGGCTGATGACAAAAGTGGTGGATCCACCACTCAGTGCAAGGGCAGCACCCACCCAGACACTCCACACAACTCCTGAGACTCTGGGTATGGGAAGGCCAGTGCCAGCGCAGGCCTGTGCTGCCTGCTGCACCTTGAGCGATGGAGCACTGTCTCTCACCCAGGAGCCTCCAGTCTTCCACTAGCCCTCAAGGCCAGCTTACAAGTTTGCAAGATGACAAAATAAAATCCTAGACCCTCACACACTGACACACAGCCAACACAGTAAAATAGGAATAAGAAATACAAGTAACAGAACTGAAAAGGTGGATTAACTGATAGTGTTTGTGAACAGATGTCTGTCCGTGTTAAAAATCCCAGACATTACAGACTACGTCTTCAGGTTGCTGCACACAGTACTAACAAGCTGCCTGCAGCAAGGACGTAAGAAAGTTTATGAAATAGCAGTAAGGTACTTGAATACACCTAGCCAAATACAGGAAGACTAAAAAACTAAAAAAGAAAAAAAAAGTAGCTTTATTTGAAGAGATTAAAATGACACACATATACACATGGATGTGTATATATGCACATACTTCCTAAACCAGTATGAAAAAAGCAACCCAAAAGGAACAACAGAGAATGTGAATAGGCAATTCACAGAAATGTGACCCAATGTCCAAGAACAGTAGGATGTATCTCATAACAAAAGAATGGCAGAAATATTAACTCTGATAACATGAAAACACTTCAGCAACAGTAAAAAGTAAATAATCCTACCCAAAATGCAGGAGTAGAAAGCAGCGCACCACATGGCGACAGTCTAGTCAAGTCCCAGCAACTTCTGTCCCGCCACCGTGCGCTCTGAAGTCTAGCCCAGAGAAAAGGCAGAGCCGCCCCACCCAGGGAGTGCTGGAGCTAGGGCCCTCCCGAGAACTGCTGTCATCAGAACTCGCAGGTGAACAAAACCCCCAGGTAATACTCTGTGTACTTAAGGAGTGCTGCCCAGAAAGCACTTGTCCATGCGCACGAGGAAATGTCACAAGAGTACACAGTGCAGTGCTCTCTGCAGTGACCCACAGCCATAAACGGTCGGAACTTCAATGGACAAATGAAATGTGGCACAGAAGCACAAAGTAGAATACTATACGGAGTTTCACACAAACACAGTAAATCTGCAGGTTATCAACATGAAAAAAAAACTCAAAGACAGAATGACTGTAAAAGCAAGATGCAGACAAATCGATGGTAATCATTTATGTAAATTTTTTAAACATGCAGAACGAAAGTATTTATTGACATTCACATATGTAATAATAGAAGAACAAGCCCTGAGACTACCTCTGGGGGGAAATGAAGACCAAAAAAGGACTATGGAGAAGTAAACAGTGCACTTCAATTCTATACACAATGTTTTACTTCCTATGCCAAAATGGCAAGATGTGGCTCTCATGGGGGGTTAGTGTTCATTCCATTTTTCTTACACTTCTCCCTAGAAAAATGTGCAATATTGACAAACAAATCCCTCAATGTAAAAGGAGCTATTAAAAATCACTAAGAAATGGGTTATATGAACAAGAAACTTCCTAACACAAAAATACGCTCAATAGACTACCATTTTCCATTCAATTTCACAAACATTAAAAATGTGAAAACATCCAGCATTGCCAACACTGGGGAGGACCCCATATTTTGATGGGATTGTAAATTGGTACAACATATGCAAGAAGCGATTGGGCGCCATCTATCAAACATTCCTGCAACTGAGTCCATTACCAGGGAACTGACTGAACCATCCATGGAGACCCACAAAAGGCCGTCCGGCCCCTGGAACGCGCTGGAGATCCCCACGTACTGACTGCACAGAAACGCTGGAACCCATCCTTAAAAGGAAAAGGCGATTTCATGTGTTCACCCAACCAGGATAAAAGTATAGTCTGGCATATGTGTAAAAGCATCCTGGTATTTCACTTCTGCAAATTAGTCTGCAACCTAATAATCAAGAAAAGGAGGTTACTAAACTGATACATTTTACAGTGAGGAACACATGGACTCCTACCCTAGCTCAAGCCCTTTGGAACAGATTACACATCTCTCTCAGCCTCATTCCCTCATCTGTAAATGAGGAAAGAAACCAGAATATTTACCTCTTAGGATTCTTGGCAGCCTTCATATCACGTTTTACAGAGTGACTGGCATGTAGTGATGCCTCAAGAAAGATTAGATGTTACAATGAGCAAGGAAGAGACTATCTCTATCCCTTTCCCTCTTACACATTTTAATTCCTTGTCTGGATTCCTTAGAATATCTGAATCAATAACAAAAAATTCTACACAGTAAACAGAAGTTTGAAAACAAACCAGGCTACCAGTCTGACTGAATTGTCTGATCCTCTAATGGCTGAAAGTTTAAATAGCACACATTTCCGCTCAGGCTGACAGTGCTGTCAGCATTGAAATATACAGTATTACTCATTGTCTTTAAAATGTAACCATGAAAGACTCAACAAAGCACTACTGCTACACTTCAGCCACACTCCTAAGGACAGGATACTGCATACAAATGTGAAAATGTACTGACCAATGTAGCAGAATCGCACGTGCTTTTTATTATTTTTGATTAAAAAGAAAAAACTGCCCCCTACTTTTTTCCTGTTTCCCACAGCCCACCTACTCCTACTGCCACACCCCTGGCAGCCCCCTCTTCAAACCACCGCACAGCACGAGGGCACCTCTGCCCAATTGCCATCGCCACACTGAGCTTCTGAAGGCAGGTGATGGAGAGGAGAAACATCTGCACAAGGCTCATCTAAAAAGAGGTCTAATTTTTCAATATCCACAGCCATTTCTGTTCAATAATAAAAATGCTACTTTTCAAACTGCAGGTCAGAACCTGTTAAAGAATGATGAAATTAGTAACAATTTGCATTTTTAACAGAATAAGAACAAAAGACCACAAAAGAAAATATTAGTGCACCACAGGTACGTGTCTTTTTAGTGCACACAAGAATGTTACATGAACTTTCCTTCTTACTGGGTCCCAAGTGAGCATCTAATTCAACAGCCAACAGATGCCCTCTGCCAGACATTATCGATGCAGTTTAACATTTCACCACACGATGGGGCTAAAATCCTACACAACTCAGGAAGCTACTGAAGTGCAGCTGGTTCTGAAAATACCCTTAATTTAAGTCCTACATCATCCCTTCAAACAAATGACTTTCATTAAGTTGAAATAAAGAACCCAATGGTAATTACTGTTTGTTCCACGTAGCATAAAAGTTAAAAGGGCTCCAACAGAAAACAAGAGATCAATTATAAAGGAGAATCCATGGATAGTGATTTCGAAATAAAAGGGTGAAGACAAGGTATAAATCATATAGAATAAGTTTTTAAAAAGGCATCACTAAAAGGCTGTTTGTGTTTCTCAAAACGACTTTGGTCCTGACTGGTGTGGTTCAGTTGGGCACCATCCCACAAAGTACAAAGCTGCTGGCTCAATTCTAGTTCCAGGTTTGTCCTCAACCCTTAACTGCCCCCCCCCCCTCATCCCATTTAAATAAACAGAAATAAAAAAGTTCAGACCACTGTCCCTATGCAAGAGGGCCTGTGAGCAGACCCAGGGTGGGGCTCTTGATGGCAGGAAGGGGTCACCACACATAAACAGAAGTCAATCTCTGCCAACATCAAACTAGCATTTGAAAAAATTATTCTCAAACTTTGTAATGTTTTGCAACTAATATTCCAGGAGATGGTAATTGCTATTGATCTGCTTAAAAATGAAAACCAATCTTATACTTATTTCAGAGAAAAAGGATATAAAGGGGAAATAGGAAATTCATGTATATCCAAGCTCTGAAGTAAGCCTGGGGGGAAAAGAAATGAACCCAGTAAAAAGATACATGAGCCAGCTTATGGAAGAAAATTAAAAAGAAAATTCCAGAAACCAACACAGAAGAGGAAGAGGGGTAAACAGAGCATCTGTAACTAAGAAGTGATCTCAGTGGCTTCATCAGCAGAGGTCTCCTCCATTCCCTAACAATTTCAAACCCTATTTCACGGTAAACAAAATGTTTAATCACCTTACAGACTGCAGAAAACGAATCCTTTGGGAAGAGTAAAGAATAGGAAATATATCCTGGATTTTAATCTAAGCTCACACTAATTACATGACAACAGGCAAGTCAATTAACCTTGCAGAGACTCCATCTGTATCTAAAAAGGTCAATTGACATGACCATTAAGATCAACATTCAAACATTAAATTCTATTGTCTAGGAATTCTGTCGCTCCAAGTGCAGCTTTTCAACATATTTCGGGCCAAATTTATTATGATCCAACAAGTCTTTTTAAGGTAACCACCGTCCAAATTATACAACGGCCCCCTAACAGCTGTCCCCCACACTGTGTTGTGTGACACTGCCCGCACTGGGTAGAGCTGTGTCAACAGGCAGGCTGAGGGCAGGGCCCGCCCTCCAACCCTCTGTATTAGGGAAAAAGAAGTGGCTGGCAGACAGCTCTTCAGCCCAGCAGAGTGAGAGACCCTAACCAAATCCGAGCTCCCTCATTCAAGCTATTCTGTTTTGGTATTTTAGTAAAATGAACAACTCTTAGATGAGTGAGTCCGGATACATAACAACTATTGCAAAGTCCTCATCACTCCTGAAACTTTAGCAATGTGCCATTCGAAGTCTCACTGATCATACAAAACAGTCGTCTTCCAGTTACATGGAAAGACCTCAAAAAACCTCTGCTTAAAAAAAAATGTTAGGAAAGGCAAGTTATTAGGAAAATAATACAGAAAAAGGCAGGGTGCAACATGAATTCGGTATGGCTTAAAACAGTGTGTGGAACTTTAATCTGTAACAAAAGACACTTTGAAGTGAATGGTTTCACATGATCCAATATTAACAACTGACTTTTTAAATAATAAGAACCAACAGATTAAATATAAACTAACTTACACAGCAATACAAAAAGTACTTCTCCACAACAATATTAAGCCTTTACATTAACTACGCTGTGCAGAACGTGAAACGCAGAAGCAGACAGAAAGACAGAGAAGAGATGCGAGAACGGGTACCTTTGTTGATGATGGTGGAGTGGGAAAATTAAGCCAGGCTGGAGCAAAGTCATGCTGCGCCATTTAGGTCCAGTCTCTCCGCCTCAATGAAACAGGGCTTCAACACCTCATGGCAAGTCCCTGTCATAAAAATGGAAGGCATTAGACCTGTAGCTCCTGACCAAAATCATCTTCTCATTCTCTAGCTCCTGTAAATTACAACGACCTCACTGCTTTAAAATTCCATTTATAATGAAATTCTAGAAAAGGTGAGAATAAAGTGATAGAAACTAGACCAGTGGAGTGAGTGCAGGGCCTGTGGGGGAAGGGAAGGACTGCAAAGGGCAGGAGGAAATTTCCGAGCTATCGAGTGTTCTCTGGTATCATGGTGATGGTTACACAAACGCGCACATTCACCAGAACTCATCGAACTGTATGCTAAAAACTGATTAATTTTATTGTAAAAAGTTTATCTCAATAAAGCTCATTTTAAAAAATGATTGTGTGACAGTCTTAGCACAAACAGATGACACACCAAGTGTCCTGAGGAGGCAGAGAGAAGCATTTAGGACGCCTCCTTGCCCCCAGCCTACATGGAGTGTGAAATCTGATAGAGCTACCACTCCACAGGAAGTTCAACCCAGACACACCTAGGTTGAGGATAAAATGTCCTGAAAAAAGGACATTTTGAGGGAGGTAATTCATCAAATCCAGATCACAGGCTGTTCTGCAGGTAAAATGATTTAGTTTCTTCCACAAATAAAAGGTCTGAATAGGCAGAGCAATCAAGTGTAATGTGTGGGCCTTTTATATACAAACAGATCCTTACTCAAGTGAACCTACCCTTAAGGATGAAAATTATGACATAATTAAAAACTTGAATATGACTGAATGTGAAATGGCATTAAAAGATTCCTTATCATTTTAGGTGTCACAATGGTTAATGAGATGACAGCATAGAAAAGAAAGATGCACACTGATGTCCTTACAGTGAACACGGACACAACCGCAATGTGCTTCACCACAAACCGCGGACTGCCAACTAGGTTCACACTGAAACATGGCTGTCCACACGTTTACAAATGCTGGTTCGAGGGGCTGTAGAAACGCTCTTCTCTCTAGTTACACGGTTGAAACTTTCCATAAGTAAAAGGTGCTTTTTATTACAATCACCACAACAGCCATCTTAAACGCAGGACAGGGCAAAAGTAGGTTTACAGTTCTGATTACATGAAACACTAGTTTATTCTTACAGTTACTTCTTATTGCATTATTTTCCATACAAACAACTGTAAACCTGCTTTTGCCCCACCCTGTTTCTGAGCAATTACTTATCTTCTGCATTCTAAATTTAAGTTGCTGGGAGCCTCTGTCAAATTGCATCAATAAGCCCTACAAGTTGCCAGCCCAATCTTAACATAGTAAATTCAGTTTTTTTAAATAAGGCCAAAGCCAAGTGGGCAACTATACTCATTTCAATATACAGCTTACGCTATTAGTCAATGAAGAAATCAAAATTTTTAAACATCAAAATATCCAAGTTTAATAACAAATGTCTTATACTTACAAATAATCTCGTGAAAACTTTTAAAAACAGAACGATCCATACCACTACCATTTTCCTTTTGCAAGTGCTATGCCCCTAATTTTTTAAAGTCCTATCAATACTGTAAATACTTTTTAAAAGATTCTCAAAATATTACGGAAATATTCTACTTCAACTATACCAAAGTGTGCTGGTCTATTAAAATGTAGGTTAAGAGTGGCCAGATTAAGGCCACTCTTAAAAAAAAAAAAAAGATATAACTCATTAATTCACTGTGGTAAATGTTTAAAAAATGCTCATGAGAGCCAGGGACAGAAAAATATTGACATAGTTCACAAAAAACCCGACAGAATTCCAGAAAAATACTTATGAAACAAACAAGATTTTAAGAGCATGCCTAATCTCAATGAACTAAATAAAAAAGCAAAGAAATTCTAATTCCACTACCATCTTATGTTACTTTTTTAAAGTCTTCTAAAATAAAAACAAACCTAAAATGTTTCAGGGTGTATGAAGGATTTTTGTTATCTATTCTGACATGAAGCTAAACACTATTTGTGATGTCTGTGTATTTGTGATGGACTGTTACTTTCCCAACAACTTTGTGTTGAAACTCTAAAGATTACGGTTCTAATGCAACATGAATGGGAAATTATAACTGCCATCAAATGATAGTTCACAGGAAACTCCACAGAACTTAACCAGTAATTTAAAGCTAATGATTTTAAAGAGTCTCATCCAAAATGATGGCTCAGTGAGAAGTTATAAACTGAAATCACTGAAACAACCATTAATATCGCCTATCCATTTCTGCAATGTCTTTATCAATTTTAACTTAAATCTAGTTCTTAAACAATAAAATATCAACAGCTAATGGCATCAGTGTTCATGTTCTGAGAAAAGGAAAGAGCAAATACTAGGTGGAATTATGGCATTTGCACAAGAGTGTGTTGAGATCAGGACGTACCACCCCAAAATATGCCACTTTGGCATAAGAATAGTTCTGAAGGCATTTGAATTCCCAAAATCCCATTCATAATAGCAGAGCCTCCCAAAACAAAGACCAATGAATGCCCTAATCTTCATGAAGAAACTCCAATTTTGTCCCGAGATACCGCCCCAAAAGAAAAAAAAAAAAAGCATTATCCCCAAGATTCTACCATTTCTTGGGGTATTCTTGGGGATTCTATCCCCAAGAAACCATCATTTCTCTTGTCAATTCTCTTAAAGATCCATTTATCTACCTCTTCAAAAGCCATCTGCTTTTCCATTAAGTTCCCTTTTCCCATCCTCCCTTTAGCCTATGAAGAGATCTGAAATTCTAACCATCACTTTGATTTACTCATCTCTGGTACTCCCAAAACGTGAACAAGACCTCCCTGTTTTCTCTTGTAACCTATCTTTTGTCAGTCTACCATACAAGGCCCAGCCATGGAACCTTGGAGGGTGCAAAGAAAAAGAAATTGCACTCCACTGCGTAAGTAAAGGCAAATGAGTTTCAAAAGCTCCACCCAATTCATCTTAATGGTGCTTTGTGCCATATGATTTCATTCCATCTTCCTTCCCTGTGTAAACGTTACGGGTTCAACTGTGCCCCCAACCCCTTCAAATTCATATGGTGAAGTTGTAACTTCTTATTGTCAGAACGTAACCATTATTTGGAGATAAGATCTTCAAGGAGATGATTAACTGAAAGGACACTGTTAGGGTCAGTCAGTCCTACTACCATCTCCTGTCCTTCTGTCACATGCCCTTGACCCCCATCTGTCTCCCTGGCATAGTAGAAGTCTTTGACAGCCAGTGTGGGACCTGGGATTGCAGTTCTAGAGTCAGAGGAGGAGACCTTCTTCTCAGAGTCATGCTGGTCTGTGTCAGCCCCTCTGGGGGCCACGGGAGGAATGAAGAGGGGCACTTGCCTTTGTTTGGGAGGAAAACATGGACAGAAAAGCTGCTGTGCGGAGAGAACTCACCTACACCTGTATGGCGCAAGCTGCACCCTGCCTGGGACAGAGGTTTACAAATGATTAAACAGCACATCCAAAGCCCGAGGGGGATGTCTAAAAGAGAATTTCTTTGGGAAATTATTCATTGCAAAGAACTCCCTTATACTAGGTAACTTAGAAACCTACACAAATGCCCAAGACAAGATGGCCACACAGAAGAAAACCTGAAAACCCTAAGCTTTCACCTCTGGATGGTCTTTCAGAGTCAGCAAAAGCAGGAAGTGAGGACTAAGGCAGAGTTATAAAGGTGTTGCTGAGCATTACAGAAATGCCCCACAGTAAGCAAGATGAGTTTTTTCTTTCACTTTTTAAATCCCTTTTAGGCTCTGATCATGCATCTACAACAAAACACTAACTGAACACAGTAAAGCTGGCTCTTGTTCCAAGAACTCTGCTAACACCAGTTCCATGCACAGCTGAAATTAAACTGCTATTGTACTGCACTGGAATTACTTTCTGCGACCAGTGAATCTACCGAGTCTTATCAAAGGATGCAACCTGAGAGTAGAGGCGGACGAATGGTGATATACAGAGAACATGACTTGGGGTGAGGAACACACAGTACAATATACACATAATGTGTTACAGAACTGGACACTTGAAACCTATTACATTAACCAGCATAACCCCCATAAAAAAGTTCAAAACAATGTGCCACAACCTGTCTTAGCTGTGAGAATTTGTAAACTTTACACAAGCAACATACTGATCCTGATGTAAACTTTTATCTTTTGTTCATCATATTTTTCCATTAATGTCTTTAAATTTTTTCGTTAAAGTATTTTTTCCTTAAAAGCAACAATAAAAAAAGAACACTAGGTGACCACAACCTGAGTCAGAGACTACCCCAGCCAAAAAACACAGACGTCACAACCACCATTCAGGAGAGTCACTGAATGAACACACAACCACAACCTGCAGCAAGCAGCCCTGAGGATGGGAAGGGGTCAGGGAGAGTATTCGATTCCACAGTCCACAAATGGCAATACTCAAAATGTTCAATTTCCTACATAAACAAATAAACAAAAACATGCCAATTCACAAGAAATTAGCAGAAACTATCTCTGACTATACACAGACCTCAACTGTCTTAAGTACAAAGAGCTAAAGGAAGCCAGCAGAACAATGTTTCAACAAACAGAAGTTCAATAGAGACGCAGAAATTACAGAAAGGAACAAAAGAGAAATTCTGGAATCAAAGAGTACAAGAACTGAGATGAAACTTCACTAGACAGTTTAAATAGCAGATTTGAGCCTGTAGAAGAATCAGACACTTGAAGATAGGTCTTCAAATTATAGGTGTAAGGCCCAGCCTGGTGTAGCTCAGTGGATTGAGAGCGGGCCTGCAAACCAGAGGATCACGGTTCAATTCCCAGTCAGGGCACATGCCTGGGCTGCAAGCCGGTTCCCAGCAGGGGACGCACAAGAGGCAACCATACATTGATATTTCTCTCCCTCTCTCTTTCCCTTCCCTTCCCCTCTAAAGATAAATAAATAAAACCTTTAAAAAATTATAGGTGTAAGGAGCCAGAAGAATGCAAAGAGCAGAGCTGAAAAGACCTGTGGGACACCATCATGCATACCAGCACATG